TACCAGAAAGGATTTTCCTCCTAGAATTCTAGAGAGGCTCCATTCAGTATTATTGTACTCCATATTAATGTACCTGAGAAAAATGATACGATTACCTTCAAAGTTGGTAAAAATGCCTTAACAAAATTCAACATCCTTAACAATAAAAATACTCAAGAATAGCCAGGCATTGTGGCGCATGCCTTAAGTCCCAGCACTTAGGAGGTAGAGGCAGGTGGATCCCTGTGGGTTCAAGGCCAGCCTGGTCTATATAGTGAGTTCTAGGCTATCTGGGGCTACAGAAAGACCCTTTCTCAAAAAGACAACAACAACAACAATAAAATACTCAAGAATATAGGAATTAATAGACATTTCTCCTTTTAATTCTTTTTCAACTAAACAATACTTTGTAAATTAAGACCACTGGGGATTGAGCATTTGAATTATATTTCAGTTCTGCTTTTTGGACTTTTATCAGACATACAATCATATTATGTACCTCAATCCCTTTGAAGACACATTTCTCAGATGAGTAAAAGATGTACTTCTTATTATAAAAGTCAGTAACTTATTTAAGGGGCAAACTATCAGAGGCACACCTACTACATAAGGAATGCGGCAGGGATGCGTCTATGCCCCTACTGTGTGAGTTACAGTTATTAGCCAATGAAATCACACAAGAGAAATCAACTAACAGAAAAAGAATAGATGAGGAAAAAGTCTCTATCTATCTGAAGATGATAGAGTTGTATCACTAGAAATTCCCACAAGTGTTATTTTATTCAATAACACTAAATAAAATAATTTTGTAAAATGGATAAAGAATCTACATATAGAACATGTGATAACTTTCAACTTACACACAAGAAATACAGAATATGACAGAAAAATCCTACTTATAATAACAAAACAACTGGACAATGAGCAGAGAACAAGAGGCTACAAAGTGCTTACCCCTGAATAGGACATCTGTATCAAACCTCTGCCTCCCAAAGCTCAGGATCATTGTAGAAGAAGGAGTGGAAGATTCTAAGAGCTAGAAGAGGTAGACGAAAATCCAGAGCCAATAAAAGCAAACCTGGTCAATTTAGCTATATTAAAAAGCTGCATAGTGCAAAATATCATATATGTGATAAAATATTTGCAACTCTATAAATTTCTATTACAAAGCTGAACTTTCATACCATTGAAAATGGCATAACTGAGGTGTATGAAATAAGAAAGCCAGCAAAATCTTCTCAGAAACAGACTTTTCCAAACTCTGGAAATTAATCAACTGTTTGCAGCAATATGGAAATCATACTTTAAAGATGAATGGAGGGTGAATAGGAATCTTGGTGGAGAACAGGAAGTTCTGTGGTAGTTTAATTTGCCTGAGTCTCAGGCTATGCTCTTCAGATCCTGTGGCCTTGAAAAGTAGCATCTCACATTATTTCTGGTACAGACTGCACCCACTGGGGAGGATACTTAGAAATCAAAATGGATCAAGAGTTCTTTTATGGGTTCATTCAGAAGAAAGCCAGTTTGCATGGTTCTCTGAATTAATCTTTCCCAGAATTTAGCCAGTATAAAAATTCTGTCCCTTACTATTGTGAGTAAAGACTGAGGGTTATTTATTTAAAAAAAAAAACAATCAAAAGCAAATAATTTAACATTATGGCTGCTTGAGACAGAGGGAAAGAACACTTTGATAAGTAAAACAGAAAAATTTGAAAGAAAAGCAAGGCCGTAAGATTTCCACAGAGAGTTCCCAACATATTTCTGGGAATGTAAAGGCTACGTGCAATATTAGGGCTGTCCTTGTACTAAAGAAAGAGCTAAGGACATAGACTCTCCCACCACTGATTGACCTAAAGTTCTACATACACAAGAAGTAAAAGCTAAGACAGAGTGATTAACTTTCATGTGTGCTGTTAAAGACATGTTGTGACATGCATATGTGCATTCCTTGATAAAGAGAGAGAGTTTTTTTGGTTTCTGACATTTAAGGAACTCTCTCTCCAGTCAATGATTGCAACTATAAAATGATAGAATAGACTCCATGCATAAAAGAATAAATATTTGTAGCATCAAATTTATAAATCTCTTCTGAGTTAACAAACCAACTACTCTAAAAAATAGAGCAGCTAACTCTGGGAGGAAGAAGTTATGACCCAGATTTTCTGCATTATTTAGAAAATCCAATTTTCAGTAGAAAATTAACATTCACAGTACTGAAAGGTACTAAGCAAGCTCCCAGAATTTGAAAAAAAAAATCAACTTTACCCAGCTGTGAATCCTGTGAACTACAATAACAAATGACTGGCAAGATATGTACACTGGTACAATAGTGGGATGAATATTATTGGAGAAGCCAACCACTCTTTGATTAGATTTAAAGTCAGTTTCCTAGGATGGAACCCATACTTGACATTGATATCAGGCTTAGGAACCTGAGGCTAGACAGGGCACAGGACATAAGGGAGAACCTAATACTAGTTTTCTACCAAATAGTTATTGTACTAAATTGACTCATAATGACTTGTTGCTATACCCATAGATTAATGAATCTCACAACTCTTACCAGAGAAGTTTTCTTATGCAACAGATGGGGATTACTACAGAAACAAGCAAAGAACAAGAAGTTTCAAGAACATTTATCTCTGAATAGATCACCTATATCAAATTTCTATCTCCCAAGGCTCAGGGATCATTATGAAAAAGGGAATGGAAAGACTGTAAGAGCCAGAGGTGGTGGATGATCATAAGGAAATAGTTTTTCAGACAGCTAGTCAGTTACTCATATGAACTCGCAGCAACGGTGACAACATGCACAACTCTTGCATAAGCTCAAACCAGAAAATCCCAGAACAGACAAAAAGAAGTGGGTAAGAAGCTCCAATACCACCTAAAGAAATTTTGGCAACTGATGGCTGCTGGGAAGGTTAGGGATAGAGATAATCTCTTTCAAGCATGGGACTTTTGAAACTTTGACAATTTTTTTAAAAAAGCAGATTGTATATATTAATTCATTGAAGATTTAAATCAGAGGGCTCTTCACTAAAAAGGAATTTATTACAATTACAATGTGAACACTGTATAACAGATGTGGTGATATGGATTCCATATAATCATAACTTCTACCAGTGAAACCTCCAGGGAGGTGTGCTATATGATGATGCAGGTTTGAATACTTTAATACAAGCAATGCACCAATTTACATTCTTATGTTGAGATTGAAGTTCTATTGAAAAACATAATTCTATGAACCTCAAACTTGTAGGATGATGATTAGGAATACTCTACATTAAGGAGAAAAGTAATTTTTAACACAAGGTTTAGTTACTTTGAGTCTAATAATTCTATCATACTAAAACCAGGTAGAAGTTCATAGAATATATATTTCCTACAATTCAGCTATCACAATTAAATTTCTCAGAGAGAACATTTCTAAAATTTTTAGGAAGATAAATGTTTTAAGTAGAAGTTCTTTTGGACATTCATGCATAGCTCCTTCTTTCTTCTATAACAATCTTGTTAGAAGCATAAAGAGCTTTTTCTAGTAAACTTTGCATTTGTGGGCTCCCATTCATCCCAGCTAGGCAGAAGTATTGTTAAAACTACCACCAGATAAGCCATGTCTTGCCAAGAAGTTTACAAAAGGAAGACTACTGGCCACCAGCCCTTGACCTGTGATTCCTTTGTATTTAGCAAATGATGATGCAAAGTCTCCTGAAAATAACTGGCATCGCAAGATTTAAATTAATACCAGGAAGGAAAAATGTTTATGTTCTAATTCTGAAAAGATATGGCCATTCCCTTTTCATTGTCATCTTCTAGAAGTTTACATGGACAAAATATAATACGACAAGTAGTCAATGTGAGCAAATCTTGAGCCTTATAAAAACCAAAATGATTATAAATACAAATAGCATGTCAGTGTGTGTGCCTGTTAGCACGTCAGTGTGTGTGCCTGTGCATTTGAACATGTTTCACATGGCTAGTCTCCCTTGGTTGAGTATGGTGCAGCATTAGCGTCTATGATTTTATGTGTAAAACATATTTGTGTATATCAATAACAAGTACTTAATAAGAAGCAGCACTGATACAGAGATTATGTCTGCTTATTTAGTATTTCACCTTGCAAAGATTTTTGGGCATCTATTAAGTAACTGTTTTTTGCACAAAAACCTGTGTGATAAATGTGTAAATTTTTTTCATAAGGTTGTGAGTAGGCTATTTCTTTTGACTTCAGAGGAAATCAGGTTTTTTCAAGGTGGTAAGGCTACAGAAAACATCTTATTTAGATTTTGTTTTCTTATTTTCATTATACTAAGAGAACTATTTAAGCTTCATAATTGCAAAGGTTTCGTGGTAGTTTTTTTTTTTTGGTTTTCTTTTCCCTGCATGTGGAATCAATAAAAGGGGCTGAGAGGTCTTCAAAGCAATAAGATATGAGGTTCAGAAGTATGGTGTGTGTGTGTGTGTGTGTGTGTGTGTGTGTGTGTGCATTTGATCTTAAGGCATTTGATCTTATTAGGCATTAACAAGAATGTCTAGGAAGTACATCTTCTGCCATGTACTTTATTGACACTGTGGTTGTTCTGACAAGGTCTTTGGTATTAGGCATCTTAGGGGTGACGGTGCCCACCATTCTCTACTCCTCTTGAAAACATATTCCTTAGACAACGTGCCATGCTCTGGAACTTTTCACTGACTCTTTATAAAATATTTCACTGTGCCTTGATTTTCTTATACATCACTATTAGCCTAAACCTGGATAAACTGTTATACTATGGTACAAATTATTGTGAAATGCTTAATTAATACTTCTCAACAGAGAAAACTACATTTATCAATCCCTTCATATTTAAAGGAATGAGCAGTAAAAGGATAGCTTCAGAGTGCACCAGGAAGGGAAAGGCCCCCTGCAGTGCCTACACTTACACCTCTTTGGCAACCTGTGCCCAACATAGACCATTAAAGCTGATAGCAAAGGTTCAAAACACCTGAGGAGGCACCATGTGCCTGGATATACTTACAAGTCACCATGAATGAGTCCATAGATCTGCGGCATGTTCTGATTATAGATTCCTCTCAAAATAACTATGAGGAGAATCACCACAAAAGACGGAATCCCCCAGCTGAGAAGGAAAAAGAGCAGGTATCGTCTCTCGGTGTGTTCATCATTCATCACCAGCACGTACCAGAAATTCACAGACTAGGAGAGGAAACAAGATGGACAGGCTCTGGATTAATGGCACAGGCCCCAAACTCCCCTGGTGGAGACATAGTCACTAACAAAGGGTGAGGATTGACAATGGTTATAGTTTTGAGTTGAATTCATTTATTTCATACATTCAAGAAACTTGACATTTCAAATGTCTGGAAACATAAGAAAATATTTAATTTATTGAACTTTTTTGTTTTCCCTACCTTGTTCTGACTTAATGTCTGTCATAATTGCCTATGATTGGGAGGCAAATCTCACTCAGAGGAAAATACAGATACACCACCTTCCCACATGAACAAATTCATGATGATGATATGGAAATAGCTCAGGTTTTTGACAGGTTTTACATGTTTGGTACCTAATACATGCGTGAGCCAGACACCGTTCTCTGGGTGGGGATACACCTGTGAGGTGGCCACAGCTCTGTCGCCAGTGGAAGAGTATAGAATCAGAAACAACATGACTGTGCATAGAGAAAAATGCCACAATCCAGAAGGATTTGAAGTCTGCTTTGCTTGTCTGTGTGTATTCTCTTCTTTCTTGTTCATTCAGTTGACTAATATTTACCAAGTTCTTGTAAGTATCAGAGATCAGCCTAGTCACTAAAGGTGTAGTGTTGAAAGGGATGGGGAGGGATTTACTCTTCTGAACTGTAGATTCCAAACAAGAGAGCAACAAATAATTAAGAACAATATATATTTTATATTCAAATAATATATTTCTTCTATTTCTCTCTCTCTCTTTGTGTGTGTGTGTGTGTGTGTGTGTGTGTGTGTGTGTGTGTGTCTTTTTGAGACAGGGTCTCCTTGTAACTAGATCCAGCTGGCCTGGAACTCGCTATACAGACCAGGCTGTCCTTGAACTCACAGAGATCTGCCTGCCTTTGCCTCTCAAGAGCTGGGACTAAAGGCACGTGCCACCACACCCAGATCATATTTCTTCTATTTCTTATGATAAAAGCAATCAAGGGACAAGTGCCCAGAGAGTTCAGAGGATGTGGGGATACACCAGATAGATGGAGTGAGGAAATGGAGGCCTGTAATGTCATCAAAATGTTTTGATTGGCCCCAAACCCTTAATCAAGATTGTGTCAAAGCCAATTCTAGTATTTGCATATTCTATTTTTCTAACCTTTCTTTCTAAGAGAAATAACATATATAATTAACATTTAGTACAGCAATGACACTTAATATCATGCCATACAATTTAATATCATGCCATGCGTATGAAAGAACTTCACACATGTTACGTGAGGATGTTCAACCTGGGCAAGTAACAGCATTTGCTCAATCTGTTTCCTTATGCAAGCAAGGTTATTGGAAAGATTAGATGAGATAGCAAATGCAAAGTGCTGAGTACGTATGTAGTCACCACTGGAAAATGTGATTATAGTCTTTAAATCTCCTGGAAGGTTATGACAAAAGATTGGTAGCTTACACCCCAAACTAGCAATGATGCAGTGCAAACCCTTTCTAAGTAAAAAATAAGCATTCAAAATGTTTGTGGGAAGATGTTTAGACACTGTTTAGTGAGGCCTCAGAACAGGTGCCTATTTGGGTCAAATCAGTCTTGAGAGATTATATTATGCTAAATGTGAGAAGGACAAAAATGTTTGGTTTCTTGGAGAATTTTGCGCCTGAATTTTATTTCCTTATCTTTATGTACATCTGCAGTTACAAAGCATATTTTGAATTGTTACTTATCTAAATTTGTTACAACTCCTCTTTAGAAATGATTAGGCCAAGAAGTTGTTGGGTTTGTTTCTCCCTCTTTTTGCACTTAGTATAGAGATGTGGACCTGAATCAGTGGGCTGTGCTAAGTGCTGATCCTGAGCTAATCAATGTTGGCCATCAGAGGATGGAAAGTCACCCAACCTAAAGATTACGACCCAAGTACTAGTTGTTAACATATTAAATACATGTTGGTGTGAATTCATCTAACAAGGTAACTCAGTGCTGCAGAAGGTGGAAATGTCTGGAAAGGAAGGGCAAACTGCTAAGTGACTTCTAAGTTGACTGACTATGGTAACGTTTGGGACATTCTCAAAATGTCTGCTTTTACACAGACATCTGTTCTTCAATTAGGGTGACTGAACCTTTCACAGACATTTGAGCGACAGTCAGACATTTACCACAGGCTCAGGTAAGACTAAGAAGTTTACTACTTTCTAGGTTCACGCTTTGGCATGGCTGCATTCTCAATGACTTGATGAATCAAAATAAGCTCCAAATATCATAAATGTTTGTCAATTTGAAAAACTAAAAATGCTTTCTTAACAGAATCATTCATTAACAGAATCCAATCATTAAAGTATACTCTGAAAAAGAATTTCCCATTATGTATCTTTTTTTAAAAAAACCATAGGATAGAAATACTGTGTAATAAAACAAATATTCTAGAAAAACCATGTGATCCATATGTAAGATTTTCTTTGACTCACTTAAGTTTTCCTGAATCTTATTTATTATATAGGTTTGTAAAAATTATTTTATTTTTATTCATGTGTATGCATGTGTGTGTATACCATAGATGTGTGTGTGCCTGCAGAGGCCAGAAGAAGGTATCAGATCCCTTTGAACTGGAGTTACAGGTGGTTGTGCGCCCTCTGACATGGGTGTTGAGAAATGAATTTTGGTCCTCTACAAGAGTAACAAGGACTGTTACCTGCTGAACCTTCTCTCCAGCACTTCGTATAGGACTTTTTGAGACAGGGGTTCAAACCTGCTATATAGCCAGGGATGATCATGAACTCCTGATCCTCCTACCTCCATCTCCCAAGTACTGGGATTATAGATGTGCATCACCATACCTGGCTTTGAATTTTATTTTAATATAATTAGGTTAGCATATTTTGGGGTGCATGCCTAGGTCATCAGTTCCCTTTTCTAAGCCCTGTCTCTCACTTTCCCCAACCATATACAGAGTAAGCTCAGCAACTCCATGTGCCCCATGACCATGTTCAGCTGGCCACAGCTGGTTTGATCATGGCTAGAAGCCTGACACAGGTCGGGCCAGTCACCTGTCACAGAATCCTTATAATCTCAATTGTCAACTACAATAAGAGGAGGTATGAATCCCAGCAGCAGTGCCACAAGCATGGTCAAGAGAGACTGTGACTGCAGGAAAGAGTGAACAGACAAAACTGCACTCAGAACTTTGGACTGAATAAGTTTTCAAATACTTCCTTTGTGATTTAAACGTTTAAGTTAGTTCAGTTTAGATTTTGGTTTTCTTTTCTCTTCCAAAGAAATTGGATGTGTGTGTGTGTGTGTGTGTGTGTGTGTGTGTGTGTGTACGTGTGTGTAAAAGAGGATGATAGAGAATTTAACCATCTTCCTGTCCCTGGAATCATGGCTCTCTTTTGTAATCTAATGAAGGAGTATTAGAGCTGGGTATGGGGGCACAGGCCTATAATTCCAGCACTAAGGAAGTAGGACAGGAAGATCAGGCTAGCCTCTGCTACACAGGGAATTTGAGACCAGTCTGGGCTATATGAGATCTTGTCTTAAAAAAATAATCTATGACTAATTATATTTAAGATTTATTTCCACAGAAATTCATATAAATACTGACATTAGTATCTTGTGCATAAGAACTTATTTTCTTGCCTTTCCACAAACTCCACACACTTCACATATGACTGGAGATGCATGTTCCTAAGTATATATAGATGTAACAGTTTCTCTTCTGCCCCCATCCATTACACTAGCATTTAATAATAACTGAAAAAAGGTTATTAGAATATAAATGGCTGAAGTCTAACTATGAGCTGTGTAAGATTAATTTTTGTGTGCCTTGTATAAAAAATTAGACTTCACAGTATCTGGTAAAATGCTTTGCACACAATCTTTATTGAGAAATATAAAAAGTGAAGATGCATACATTTTTCAGTAGTGTTTTGTTGACTTCAACAGCTATTTTATGTCATAAATCTCTGAATGTCTTCATATATAGGTGTACATGTATGCTTGTATACTTATAAATATTAAACCCTTTTCCAAAAAGTTTTAGGAGACATGATGATTTTATTCGATTCAACTCCTAATGAAAAGGAACTTAAGTTAATTAATATAAACTTAAAAAAATTAAATGCAGAAACATTAACTTGAACCGATTTTTATTGAGTAATAAATGTTTCCCTCACATTAATGTAGACCTAGCTCATTCAACAGAGGTAATTTCTGTTCCCCCCGCAGAAGGAAAGAAACTGTGGCTGGTACATTTCCCAGAATTAATAACTGAGGCTGATAAAATTTAAACTGATTCTGTTAAAGGTGCAAAGAAACAATTAAAATATCTAGATAGGATATAATTTAGGTTAAAGACACATAAGAATAAAGTAAAATCTGTGTCCGTAAGCACATTTACTAACATTCCTATATAGATATACTTTTCAGGTATCTCTACAGAAAAACCAAACACATGTATTATTAAATAATTTGATCATCATAGGTCATAATTGTGCCTTCACATACTCCCAAAACATAAATTTATTAGTTTATTCATAATTCTCCATATAACACACATTAGTATGTTAGCAAATTGTTTAAAAATGCCATTTATTTTAGGCTCAATAGGCTATTTGAATGCCACTTGTTTCATGGGATTGTGGAATAAAGAATAACTAGTACCTAGGCTATCATTTAATACTTGGTTATTAATTGGCCCACTAGAATCACTGAACTGATTTATAGCATCATGTTTAATCAGCGATGACACAGGCTACTACCTCTGTCCATTACCACATGTTCTTAATCATTCATTTCAGATGGAAATCTAAGAAATGTTTCCACATGCCCTTGTGCCAGTTCTCCTTCCTTTCTTAGTATTTATTGCATGAAATGAACTGTAAGGCTTTTGGGATTGGAGAATTCAGTATTTCCTGCGTATGTCATTTTTATCTTGGTAATTATCATTCTGTTGTCTTCAATACTTTGATGTCCTGTCAAATTAAATCAAAGACAAAGAAAAAACACAGCTAATTTTAGCATTTCCCTTCCTGTTGTTATGTTCTGACACCCAGTAGCCTCGCTCCCAAGGAGGAAAGAACCTGTGTGTTTGTTTCTCCACTGTCTGGTTATATGGTGAAATTAAGGCACAAGATAGAAATGCTTAAACACAATTGTAATGATTTCTAACTTTATTCTATCATTTTTAAAAGAGAAACTTCAGTTTCAAAATAGAATATATTTTGGATTGAGCTGTGTCTTTGGGGGTGAGATGAACAGATTGCAAAGACAATACAAGACTTTCTTACCTTCTGTGATTGAAACAGACTGCTATACAATCATCTAACATGGTGATAGGGGGTGATTATAAAACCAGGGCAGATGAATACACAAGAGAAATTACATTTATATTTGCTTTACTGTATATGAATTTCACAATTAATTGAGGGTTATATTCTTTCCTCAATTAACCCATGGTCTGGCAATCTGACTGGAAGCATGATCTATGTAACATTCATAATAAAAGCATAATTTCTAGGAATTCACTCTATGGATATTCCCTCAGTAAACAAATATTATTTACAATACAAAAAAGTAATGAGCATTGGCCAGAATTAGGGACTACAAAATAAATGACAGAATAACTGTATCATAGTACAGAAAAAAGTACAGTTAAACATTGTAAATGTAAAGATTTCCAAATATAAATATATACATACATGCATATACAAAAGTATATACAAACCCAAGGACACACATGTGTGTTTGTTTATAGCTTTATAAATATTTGTCTACTTATGGGATATTTGTGGAGGCATTGACAGGAAACCATTACAGTGTTTAGATATGAGTATGGCATTGGAGTGTCGAGCAAAAGCTGGAGAATGTGCAAAATAGCAAAAAAGAAATGTATACTATTTATTTTACATTGCTCTGAAGGGCTTTTGTTTTATTAGCATACACTATCTCTAAAATAAAATAAAATAAGAAATACAAAATAAAACTAGCTAGCAACATAAAGACATTTCAAGATTTTAAATTCTCATTGTCAATCTAGGAGAGCCAACTTGACTCTGGTGTCTTAAGGAAGTAGGAAATGATTTCAGTAGTTGCATTGAGTGATCTTACACGAAGCACAAACAGGACAAGTCAATTATCCTTGGCCAAATAGGGAATTTGTGACTTGCTTGTTTTAAAACAAAGTAAGCAAACTATTGTGCTGCTGTCCTCCTACCATGTGCTGAATGACTTCCCAAAGGAAGGAAGGGGATGCCTGGAGAACCAGAGTCAGGTCCTTAGTTGTGGAGTCTATGGGAAGGCAGGCCTGTGCTCTGCAGGTTAGAGATTAGCCTCCTAAGGTTTGTGGCTAGTGTCTGCCTCTCTTGAAATCAGCCCTCTTTCCACCATATCAAACGCATTCTCTTTTCTTAAAAGATACAAATTATATCAGAAAAGCAGAATATTCAGTGTATTTCAAAAACCTCTGTTATTTCAGCCACTTATGATAGCCTAGCCATAACAAGAGAGAATATGCACAGTGTACAATCTGGGCCGGGCACAGTGCCCAGCTTCCTCCATGGATTAATTACTTTCATATTTTCTCAATTCTCAAAGACAAGTGATGTAACTGTAACTTGATTTTTTTCGATAAGAAAAAGTAAGCTCAGAGAAGTGTTATATAACTTGTTTACCCATAAAATTTTTCCTTTTGGTAGGTTAAAACTATAAGCTACCTTTACTATAATGGTACTGAAAGCCACCTAGTATAAAAGCAAACCAAAGCCTTTTAAATACATTTATCCTAACATTGAAAATGTGATACAAATGAAATTTGTATTTGTATTTTTATTTTAAAATGCTTCTTTAAATTTTTTATTACATTATGTATGTATGTATGTATGTATGTATGTATGTATGTATGTAGGCACACTGTAGAGGTCAGAGCACAACTTACGGGAGTGGTTCTCTCCTTCCATGATGTGGGTCCTCGGGATCAAACTCAGGTTATCAGGCTTCACAGCAAGCATCTTTACTGCTGAGGCCTGTTGCCAGGCCCCATTAACAATTCTGGTGTACTTAACCCACTGACTAAAAATTAATGACTAACTTAATGTCATTATATTATTCATGAATAGTATCAGATTCCCTCCTGTGCTGCTAAAAATGCAAAGTTGAATCATTAAAGTGTTAATATTCTTTCAATTTTTTTTCAATCGAACTTGACCCACAGGGTTGGACTAACAGTTTATTCTACTACATGGTGTTAAAAAAATAGACTCAGGGTTCTTAAAAATGGTTTTAACACACAGCATTTTGTAAATGAGAAATACAGATTGGTAAAATGACAACCTCTCACCATAAAATAACCTATTAAAAGTAACCTAACTAAAATTCAGAAGTTATTGAATTTTCCCTTGTGGTCATACCACAAACCATGAAAAATGTGTGGTGCACCATCTGAAATGCATTACACTTCACTGACACTTTAAATAGCCTTTCTGAACCATGAGACATACAGAAATATAATTAGTTTCCTAAATATGCATCAACCACAATCATATTTACTTACTGACCAGATGAGCAGACATAAAATAAACCAATCCTCATGACTTGGGTGAAATCCTATATACTATCTTGTTTAACACTCCCCCAAAGCAGGAAACACACCTGAAACGTGTGTGAAAGCCATTTCCCTCTGTTTGAATGTATTTGGGGGATCTGATTCACTTCTCACAGGTCTAGTGGCCATGAAAAAACCTTAACTTGAGTGAAAATTTCATTTCCTAAGATTTGATCCATTTGCTCTGGTTCTGCCAAACGCAGGCACCTGCTCCAGGCTTTCCCTCCCATACTTCTGACATTTTTGGACAGCATCACCCTCCCTGAATCCTTTCCAGGCTAGTTCCCTTCTGACTCCTCACATGCTGGAACATGACTGGGAAAGTGATTACTATATCCCTAGGCAGACAGTACACTACAGATTACAACACAGCTACTGCAGCCATTTGTAGATTACAGAGCTGTCTCCATACTGTTCCTGATGCAACCCAGGTCTGTGTGATACTCTGGTCATCCATCACATTGCCATGCGTTTACATTAATGCAAAAATTTCAGTCATTAGATGGGATCTCCTTCATTCCAGCATTCAACCTATCACTACAGGTTCTCTATGTTGGTTTTGCCTGGAATATTAATGCAGGCAGGTTACTATTTTAATTCTGTTATCTCTGTGTATCTTCAAATCTGATAAGCAATTTCCTGTGTTTTCATCTTAGTCATTAATCAGAAACTCAGAATGTCAGGGACATAAACAAAGACCTTCAGCATACCACCGAGATTTGGTCCAGGCAGATAGATAACAACCTCCATAGTTAATATTGAAAAGTTCAGCTGAGATAAAAACTCCAAAGCAATTATGTAACCAGAAACATTAAAGACATTTATCTTAATTTCAGAAGATATTTCAGTTTTATGCTATGTGGATTAGATTTATTTTTAAATCTCTTGACAACAATGTTTGAGAACATAACATATATTCCATGCTCAAAAATCTATAAAGGACTAATTCAAGGACTGAGAAATCATTATCTTCATATGAAAATTCAGAAATCAACCTTAGAGAGAATTAATGAGTTGATTGAGGCTTGCACAGAGAGTGGCAAAGCCAAAGGCAGACTTCAAGGATCTTCCATACCACTCTTCACATTGTAATTATTATTATAATTATAATTATTATTTGATAGAGGGAATCTCGCTGGATCTAGAGCTTGCCATTTCCCCTAGACTAGCTGACCAGCAAGTTCTTATGATCCACCTGTCCCTGTGCCCGGCCCTGCACTGGAATTACAAGTGTGTATACTCATACCCCCAGCTTGAACTCAGATCCTGATTCTTAGCTTACGGTTGATGGTCCAACTCTCACTTCAGTTTCTTTATGAAGCAAGTTAGCATATGATCAAAGAGTGAATTGGGATCTGTGTCCAAAAAGGGGAGTCTATAAGTCCCTTTCAACACTGAAAGATCCTCAGGAGAGTTTTCTGGGATTCTTTGGGTCTCAAAATATAGTCTTTCTAGATGATTTCTTCCAAAGCAATGACTCCATTTTTCAACCCTATATCAATGAATTTCCAACATTTCTCTACAGCACACGTCTACCTTCTGGGCCACGGAAAACCTCAGAGATCTCTCTTTCCTAGAGATCCCCACTGTGATGGCTATACAGAATTGATTCCACTTCACTACAGAGACTATCAGGTACTAAGACCATCATCAGTCAGGGTCACTAGAGGTGAGCAGAGGTAGAGGAAGGGACAAGCTACCAACCTGAATGAGCATCCAGCTAAATTGGCAAAGATACAGGTAATGTGCCACAGCAGCCACAGCCGAACAACTCTCTTCACTCAGTTGGGGACTTGCATATGCAGATGCCAGGAACACAATCTGGAAGAAACAGATACTTCTATTTTTAAGACTTGCTAAAATTAAAGAAGAATATCGAGAAAATTAAACTGCTTTCTCATCGGAATCCATGAGTTAGTGAGCCAAAGGAAAAGTAAGTTGAGCTGATGCCCAACTCATATGACTAAGCCATTCTCAAATGGCAACACATGAAATTTTATTTCTAAGAACCAATGAATAACATTATGTTCCATGTTGCCCTATGACTCTCAGAAGGAAATTCTCAAGGTAAACCACGTTCTTATCACTGCTAGACCAAAACCTTGAAATGCATTTAACTAAGTGGGAAGGAAGGAGCAGAGTAGAAATGCCATTCCTTGTGTATGTCCCAGCTAAAGGGAAAAAGGAGAAGGGGAGGCAGAATTCTCCTCCACCTTTCCATCACCTGCAGCCTCTTGCCAGGAAGTAACATGCATAATAATTATGGTGAAGCTTCGCATGCTGCATTGTCTCTATTGACTGTAAAGGACTTGCATGGTGGTTGATGCTTTCCTTAGGCAGCTTCATGAGATGCAGCATAACACTTCATATTAACCAAAGGGCCTCCTCTGTCACACTAAAGGGACTGTTCCTCTTGAAAATCAGTTATTTAAGTTCCTGAACACCTGTGCTTAATTCTCTCACCAGTAACAACAGTAAGTTTGAAAAGATAAACTCTGAAGTCCTTTCATCTCTAAGATTCCAGAATTATTTTTAACATTAAGATTCCTAATTGAATTTTCTGTTTAATTAGCCCTGGGTTTGTTATTTGCAATATACACTATTAAAATTAATCAAAGCAACATTTAAAGTAGAAACTATAAATTACAGCTCATTGTTTCCTAATAGTCTAGTGCAAATGAGTTCCCTGAAAAATAATAAAGTTAACAAAGTCACATTTCCAGAACACACCACACAATAGTTTTGAATTATTGTAGCTTGTCCTTAAAACATACTTAAAATTTTGAAAATTTCATCTTTTGTTCAGCTTATGATATACAAAATGTTATAGGTCATAAATTTAAACATATAAGTTCCATAAATATTCACTAAACACATTCCACGCATTAAGCACCAAAACTTAGCCTTAAAGACTTTAGAAGAAGGGGTTGGAGAGATGGCTCAGTGGTTAAAAGGACTCACTGCTCTTGCAGAACACCAAGGTTAGATTCCCAGAACCCACATGGCAGTTAACAACCATCTGTAATTCCAGTTCCAGGGATCTGATGCCTTCTTCTGACCTCTGCAGGAATTGCACGACACAGGTGCACTAACACACGTGCAGGCAATATACTCATGGACAAAAATAAATTAAAAAAAATAAAAAGACTTTAGAAGAAAAACTCTCTAAATCTACTCCTTCAAGCAAGCACCATGACAATTTATGTCCTTAAAAAATTAACAAGATGACATCTAGTTCCACATTTAAAAAAAAAATTGCAAACTACATGATTAGAAGAAGCATTTCATTACAGCTTTAACATATTCAGTAACATACTCCAGAGCAAGAGTACATCTCTTTCACAAGTGGCTGTAAGTTTCTAGGTTCACAGTTGAATTAATACAGTTATAC